ACCGCCTGCGACGGCGGGCGGGAACGTCGGCTGCGGCTCCCCCGATCGCCGCCCCCGCCGCCTCCTGGGCTCGTTGGCTGAGCTCGAGTCTGGCGATCGCCGCCGCCCTGCGCCCGATCTCTTGGGCAACCTGCTCGTCGCCAGGCAGCTCGGGGAACTGAGTCAGGGCCGGGCCAGGGCCAGCATCGACGAGCTCGACGCCCACGTCGCAGTCGCCCGCGGGCCCATCCCAGCTAGCGCCCGCAGGATGTCCCTGAAGCACCTGAGGCCTGGCGGCGGCGGCAGCAGGCTGAGGAGGCGGCGCCCCCTCGCGAGCCCGCTGCCCCCCCGCCGCAGGGGCCGGGCCGACCCGCTGGCCAACCTGCGGCAGGGGCGCGGCCACGGGGAGGGCCACTCCCGCCGCCAGTCCACCAGCAGGCACCAGGGTGGACAGCACCTGCTGGACAGCCCCCAACGCCTGGGCGAGCTGCGCTGCCTGGCCCCCCTGATCCGCCAGGGCGCCGACCACGCCGTCGAGGGCTTGGTTGGCCGCTTGCAGCTGGGCGGGGGGCATGCCGGCTGCGGGTCTGCCTGCGCGCCGACCCGAGCGCGAGCCTCGGCGTACTTGTCCTGGAGCTCCTGCAACTCGTCTTCGACCTCGACGACGTATGCGATGGCCTCCTGCGCCGCAGCCCGGGCCCTGTCGAGCTGGACCCGCGCCGCCAGCAGCTGCGCGGACAGGGGGCCCACATCCTGCGAAGCCTGCGCTGCGACCATGACGGGCTCAGCCAGGCCCGCGGCCGCCATGGCACGACGATGGAGAATTTTGCCCCGCTGGGACTGGGAGAGCGAGGGCATGGGCGAACAGAAGGCGCCCTCGTCAAGCAGGAGCCAAGACGCGAACTCTTCCTGGCACAGCACGCGCTTACTCCCAGCACCCAGAGGAGGACGAGGATCCACCGCACCAGGCGCTTTGGGCTTGGCAGTGCCGCAGAGGTAGAACGCCCCGGCAGCGCTTGTTGCCGCATGCCCGACAATCTCGCCGCCAACCTCCGCCATCTCCTTTGCTGCCCTTCTTCGGCTTAACCATGGATCAACGGTGGCCCGCTGCGCTCGGCGAAAACTCTAGGCCCCAGCAGCGCGGAGCTCGACTGGGTTTGCAGGAAATCGGATGCTAGCCTCGGGCCAGAGGTATCAACTCTCTGTCCGAGGGCCAGAACCATCTTGAGCCAAAACGGCCACGGGCCGCCTCCTTCTCCTCCTTCTCCCCCCCTGCCCTCCCCCTCCTCCCCCTCCTCCTTCTCTTCTTGGTCCCTTCTCATCCTTATGCCTTCGCCATGTGCTCCTTAATGTCCTCATCGTCTTCCTCCTCTTCCTGCTGCTGCTGCTGTTGCTGTTGCTGCTGTTGCTCCTCCTCCTCCTCCTCCTCCCCCTCCTCCCCCCCTCCTCTCCTCCTCCTCCTCCTCCACCTCCTCCTCCCCCTCCTCCTCCTCCTCCTCCTGCTCTTCCTCTTCTCCTCCTCCTCCTCTCCTGGGGCCGGCGCGGGAGATCCCTGGGCCCTCCCCGGGCAGCGCCCGAATTGCTCCGACGGAAAAGCCGTCACCGTCGGCCTCGTGAGTGGTGAGGCATCCTTACTGTCCCTTCTGCGTGTATTGCTGTCTCTTCTGCGTATATTGCTTCTCTGCCCCCGCCCCCTGCGCCCCCCCGCCCTCGCCCCTGTTTTTTTACGCGCCCCGTCACCTCCCCCACTTGCTATTGCGCGAGCGCGCATGTCGATTTTCCTCGGCGCCGTCGCCGCCTCGGCCAGCGCGGGCGCGTTCTCTAATTGCCATGTCGCGCAGCCGTTGGGACGGCCCCGCGGGCCAGGACGTCTGGGCAACCGCGCGCGCCGCTGGCGCGCGGGACCAAACCGCTGGGACAGCCCCGCGGGCTTCGAGCGGGGCGCAGCCGCGCTCAAGCGGGAGGCAGCGCGAAGCTCAGCTCTGCCGCGAGCTGCTCCGCCTCCGCCCTGGACCACTCCGCTCTCTCGTCGAACTCCTCGAGCGCCTTCCGCGAGGACGCTGGCGGCCCTCGCTCCAGGAGCTCTCGCGGCGGCGGCCGCAGGATCAGCATGTTCCGCGCGCGCGTGGCGCGGGGTAACGTGACGTAGAGGTGCAGCCACCACTCCTCGTCCGACGTGCCCGCGCGGCCAGCGCCCTCGTCTCTCGCGCAGTCGATGGTGGCGCCCTTGCGCAGCGTCTGGCCCCGCGACTGCGCGGAGGTCAGGCGGGGCGCGCGCGCCGAGGTGAACCCCGAGCGGCGTGCGGTGTGCGGCCCCGAGCTCTGCCACTTGAGCCCCTGCTCGCTGGGCCTGAACATCAGCAAGCTCCGCGCCCGCGCCTCGGCCTGGCCGTCGTCGTCGGCGCCCTGTCGCAGCGCCTCGGCGACCTCCTGGTAGATCGGGGACTCCTTGAAGCCGTGCGCCTGCAGCCGGATCCCCTGCGGTAGGAAGCGGGGGCGAAAGAGCTGGCCTGCCGAGCGCCCCTCGCGCCGCTGCTCGCCCTCGTGGTGGAACTCGAAGGGCGCGATGGTGGCCCGCCTCTCCTGCGCGAGTCCCAACTTCTTCTCCAGCTCTTCCTGCGCGGCCGTGAACCGTGCCTCCGTTCCGACGTGGGCCGGCAAGACGCCGTGGATGTCCCCCGTCTCGCGCGTGCTCGGGGCGTTCGGGGGGCGCCAGCCCGCGCCGGGATCGCCCTGAATCGAGCTGCGCTCGCGCGCGTTGATTCACCGCGCCAGGGTCGCCCCATATAAGCCCACGCCGTAGCCGAGCCGAATGTTCTTGCGCTGGCGCCGAGGGCCCAAGACGCCGTGGTTGTCCGAGGCCAACGTCTTCCCCCAGGCGGACCAGACCTCTGGCGGGAAGGGCTTGCCCTCGCGCGTGCAGCTCAGGAACGTGATCAGAGGGCCCCCGGGCTCGAAGCGCGTCGTGCCCTTCAGCTCGAAGATGTAGGGGACCTGAGAGAAGACCCCGATGGCGCGCTGAATCTCCACCGTCGGCGGGTCCGCGTACCTGTGCGGCCCGTCGTCGCCCAGGCGCTCGTTCGGGTCCGTCAGGGGGCCAATGCTGCCGGGGCTTCAGCTGCAGGAAGTCGCCGAGGTGCAGCGCGATGGGGGGCGCGCCCGAAGCGGCGGTGCGTCCGCTGGTAGGTGGACTCCCGCGCGTCGTGCGTGTCACTGCGTCCGCGGCGCTCGCGAAGGTCCAGCGCGTCGCGCGGCGCGGCTGCCACGCCGCTTATCTCCTCGATGGCAAGAACGCGGACGTGCTCCCATAACCACTTAAACCTCTTTCTTCTGCATGCCCCCCAGCCGCAGCTTCGCGTTGATGTACTTCTGGACTCGCACAGCGCAGGCGTTGTGCAGCGTTCTGGCCTCGGCAGTCTCCGCGGAGATGTTCTTCGCCTGCGCGTTCGAGAAGGCAATGGCCATGATGCTGGCCCCGGCGCCGGCGAGGGCCAAGCATGCTCTGCGACTGGGAAGGCGATCTTCTGCACCGCCTGCGTTTTCCCCGAGCCGCCCTGGCCCAGCAGGAGCAAGTGCGTCACCTTTCTCTCGCTCCAGGGCTTCTTCTGCACGTCGTCCTCCCAGGCTTCGTCGCAGGCTTTGGCGAACTTGGCGACGAAGGGCGTCTGGCCCCGCGTGAGTCTCTGGTCCTCCGGCAATTCAGCGACCAGTTGGGCGATGTACGCGCTGGGCGTGGAGTGCACGCCGTCTCCGAACTTGGCCGCAGCGGGGTCGGCGCCCAGGCCGCCTGCGCCCTCGTCCGCGCCGTCGTCGACGCCCGCGTCATCCTCGTCGCCATTGCCCTGCAGGCGGTCGCCGTGCAGCTTCGCCCAGGAGTGTCTCTCTTCGCGCGCCGCAATCACCAGCAGTCGGTGCCAGGCCGCGGGCGCAAGAGCGGTCGCTGCGTCTGCTGGCGCGGGCGCGCCCATGCCCTCGCGGACCGCCTCGGACATGCACGGGAGCGCAAGGAGCTCCTTGGCCAACCCGGTAAGGCGTTTGCGGTGCGCGAAACTCAGCGCGTCCGCCATGTCCTGCTCCCCGTCGATGCCCCACGTTGGAACCGGCTGGACATGCAAATGCGCTCGGACCGCCGAAGGATTCGCGCCCGGGTGCTCCACGCCCTCGCCCGCCTCGGCGCCCTCGTTTTCACCGGCGCCTCCTTCGCTGGCCGCCTTGGGGTGCGCGCTCTGCGCGGCCGCGTCGCTCTGGCACTGCCGGGGCTGCTTCTCCTCGCGCGCCAGGGCGATCCCCTCGAAGTTTGGCGCCACCGGCATGGCTATCATGGAGACGTGCTGGTGGACCGTCGCCCTGGGTTTCTCCTTGTCAGGGCAGCGGGCGGGGTCCAGCGAGTCGCCCCCCTCGTCCATGCCCTGCGCCCGCGCCCAGTTCAGCGCGAAGTGCTTCTCCTGAACCTCCTGCGTCTCCCAGATCGAGGGCCACTCGTGCCGCGCCAAGAAATGGGCCGCGGCGACGCGGGCTTCCTCGTCGGCCTGAGCTTGGTAGTGCATCCAAGCTCGCGTGAAGCAGTTGCCACCGCGCACGTGCTTGTCGCGGGGCGCATCGGGGGCCTCCATCAGGGAGGAGAGGAGGAAGGGAGGAGGGGGAGGAGGATGAAGAGCAGCAGCGCCAGAAACTGCCAGGGGTGGCCGACAGGGGGAGGACGGAAAAGAGGGGGAGGAGGGGGGAATGAGGAAAGATGAAGGAAAAGCTGGGAGGAAAGAGACAGGATGAGAAAGAGAAAGGAGAGACGAAGGGAGGAAGGAGGGGGAGGAGGAGGAAGAGGAGGAGGAGGATGAGGAGGAGGAAGAACGTTCCGAACACATGAAGCACAAGCCCCGAAGGTTTCAGCGCTACTGGCACGAACCCTGGAAAGTTCAGCACCGAATGCGTTCCGAGCACGAGCCCCGGAGGGTTCAGCGCCCCGAACACATGTAGCACGAGCCCCGAAGGGTTTAGCGCTACTGGCACGAGCCCCGGAAGGTTCAGCGCCGAATGCGTTCCGAGCACGAGCCCGGAGGGTTCAGCGCTCCGAACACATGTAGCACGAGCCCCGAAGGGTTTAGCGCTACTGGCATGAGCCCCAGGGGGTGCAGCGCCGAATTCGTTCCGAGCACGAGCCCTGGAGGGTTCAGCGCCCCGGACACATGCAGCACGAGCCCCGCAGGTTTCAGCGCTACTGGCACGAGCCCCGGAGGGTTCAGCGACGAATGCGTTCCGAGCACGAGCCCAGGAAGGTTCAGCGCCCCGAACACATGTAGCACGAGCCCCGAAGGGCTCAGCGCTGGCACGAACCCCGGAAGGTTCAGCGCCGAATGCGTTCCGAGCATGAGCCCCGAAGGGTTCAGCGCTACTGGCACGAGCCCCAGAGGGTTCAGCGCCACGTGGACACCCTTTAATTCGATGCCCCCACTGCCTTTAGCAGGACCGTCATCGAGTGATGGGGTGTCGGCTGCCACCGTCATCTGTAGAGCAGAGGAGGAAGGACGGAGGGAGGAAGGAGGAGGGAGGAGGAGGAGGGAGAGGACAAAAGGAGGATGGGGGGGGAGAGGTGGAGGAGGGGGGGAGGGAGGAGCAGAGGGAGAATGAGGGAGGAGGAGGGAGGGAACTAGAGGAGGAGGAGGGGGAGGAAGGAGGGGGAGGGACGAGGATGGAGGATGAGGATGAGGATGGAGGATGAGGATGAAGATGAGGAGGTGGATGATGATGAGGAGGAGCAGGAGGAGGAGGAGGAGGAGGAGGAGGAGGAGGAGGAGGAGGAGGAGGAGGAGGAGGGGGGGAGGAGGAGGGAGGAAACCAGAGGAGGAGGAGGGGGGGAACTAGAGGAGGAGGAGGAAGAGGAGGAGGAGGAGGAGGAGGAGGAGGAGGCAGGAATGAGGGAGGGAGGGGGCCCAGACGCAAGCTATCGAACGGAAGCCCGCCCTACCACTCACGTGCAACACGAGACATAAAAAAACAAAAATGGAACTCATGGGGCTCGCGTGCGACGGCACGACTTGTTCGCACCAGCAGCCTCCGGCAGACTTGTTCGCACCAGCGTTGCGCACTTCCCTTTGGCAGGCCGCTCGCGCCAGCAGACTTGTTCGCACCGGCGTTGCGCGCTTCGGGGCGTAAGCCTAGGTTCTAGTAAGTCTAGTGGAGTCAGAGGGATACAATCCATATATATATATATATATATATATACATATATATATATATATATATAAACGAGGAGGAGGAGGAGGACGTGGAGGAGGAGGAGGAGGAGGAGGAGGACGGAGGAAACCAGAGGAGGAGGAGGGGGGGAACTAGAGGAAGAGGAGGAATGAGTGAGGGAGGGAGGGGGCCCAGACACAACCTATTCGGGCTTGTTGGGATTTCGGTGAAGCCCGGGACCGAAAGGGAGGGAGGGCAGGACGACGATGACGACGGGGCTACTCACATACGAGGCCCCGTTCGATACTTCCTGCAAATTCAAGCCTGAAGAACCCAAAAGTGGCGACACCTACAGGAAACGAATGACCCGTTCGGATTACCAACGGAGCCCAAAAGTGACGACAATTAGAAAAAATCCATGACCCGCCTCGGATTCGAACATGAAGTCCGGGCCCCTTACGGAGGCGGCTCCCGCCTGAGACTTCCTCACACTTGACTCACAGACGAGGTTCCCGCCTGATACTTCCTCCATATTCAGGCCTGAGTAGCCCGAAAATGACGACAGCTACAAACATTGTGTGACCCGCCTCGGATTAATAACATGATCTGCGGGCCCCTTAAAGAGGGGGCGCCCGTCTGAGACTTCCTCACAATTTACTCACAGACGAGGCTCCCGCCTGATACTTCCTCCAAATTCAAGCCTGAGGAGCCCAAAAGTGACGACAACTTTATATATATATATATATATTATATATATATATATATATATATATAACAACCAAACCAGCGCGGATCTGCGGGCCCCCTAGGGGAGGGGGTTACCGCCAGAGACTTCCTCACAATTCACTCACAGGCGAAGCTCCCACTTGATACTTCCTCCAACTTCAGGCCTGAATAGCCCAAAAGTGACAGCCCAAAAGTGACGACAATTACAAGAATTGTGCGACCCGCCTCGGATTAGTAACATGATCTGCGGGCCCCTTAGGGAGGGGCTCCCGCCTGAGACTTCCTCAGAATTCACTCACAGACGAAGCTCCCGCCTGATATTTCCTCCAAATTCGAGCCTGATGATGATGGCGAATAATCAACGGGTGATGGTGTTGGTGATGATGAATCTGATGATGTTGATGATGATGATGTTGATGCTGATGAGAATGAGTTGTGATAGTGATGATGATAATGATGATGATGATGATGATGATGATGATGATGACGAGTGTTGGTGACGCGGTGTTGTCAATGACGATGCTGATGATAATGAGTGGTGAAAATGAGTGAGTGATTGAATGAGTGTCTGAGTGAGTGAGTGAGTGAGTGTGTGTGTGAATGAGTGGGTGTTCTTGTTTCAGTTCCTGCGCGGGGTGTCCAGAGAAAACAAAAACTCCACTTTGGATGTGGGGAATAACCTCCGAATTGCGAGTTTTTCGGAGGGCACCCCCCCTGGATCCTAGGGGGGGGGTAAGCTTGGGGGTGGGTGGGGAGGTTTCCGGGGCCCGACACTTAAAAACACCTGAACAACCACCGAGGAGCTTTCGAAGAACACCAGACAAAACAGCGGAAAACCATCGACTAACCTCCTCATTGGGTTTTCTAAATGTTTTATTTTTCCGGGGGGGTCCCAGGAGCGATCGTGCAACCCTTTCAAATCGCAATTCGGGCCAACCCGCCCCCAACGGAGGGGTTTTGCTGCGGTTTTGAAAAAGGAAAGCGCAAGAGAAAAAAAACAGCTCAGGGTTTGTTCATCGTTTTTTTGTGGGGGGGGGTCCGGGAGGACCCCCCGGGGGGAAAACAAAACCCATCTCTGGTTTGTTTTCATGTTTTTTTCCGGTCGGATGGAATATACAAAACATTCAAACTCTGACGTATTTTTCCCCCGTTCCATGGGGGCAACCGCAGGCACCACACAACTATCTTTTTCCTGGTATTTTTTCAGAAGGGGGGGGGGGCTCTATAGCAAAAAACCCAACTCGAAGGTTTCTGGGGGAGGTTAGTTTTTTTTCCCCCCCCTCCGGGGGGGGTGCCTCTTGAAAAACAAATCTAAACTCGTTTTTTTGTTTTTTTCCCCCGAAGGTTCTGGGGGGCCCACTATGAAACGAACAATACAATCTCACCCCCCCCAAGAAAAATCAGACAAACTGTCCAAATCTGAAACTTTCCTGAATTTTCCGGGTGTTTTTTCCGGGGTGGGGAACCTTCGAGAAAAAAAAACTCAACTTGGTTGTTTTTCTTGTGTTCTTCTGTGGTTTTCCCGGGGGGCAACCCCCGAAACACCCTGGTAGTTTTTCAAATGTTTTCCCGGGGGGGGGGGGACTCCCGAAGAACCCTCCAACAAACAGGTTTTCGGATGTTTTTCGAAGGCCCCCCCCCCCAAGAAACAAATCTCTGTGTTTTTGTTCGGGGATTGTCCGGGGTGTTTCCCGGAGAGAAAACCCCGGGGGTGTTTCTTCGGTGGTGGGGCCCCACAATTCAAAGCGAGCCTGTTTCAGAAAACCCTCTGGGAAACCTTCCAACTCGGGTTGTTTTGTTCTGGGAATTGTTATGTTTTCCCTCCCAAAAAAATTCGATTGTATCCCCAGGGGGAGGACCCCGGAACAAACAAAACAACTCTGGGAATGTTCGTTGGATTGTCTGAAAAATCATAACATCTCCCAGTAACCGTCATAAGAATAAAAAAAGCAGTAATAAAAACATAACAACAATAATAATACGAACAAGAATGCGAATAGTAATATTAATGATAATACGAATACTACTACTATCACTACTACTACAACTACTACTACTTCAACTACTACTTCAACTACTACTACTACTACTACTACTACTACTACTATCACTACTACTACTACTACGACTACTACTACTACTACTACTACTACTACTACTACTACTACTACTACTACGACGACGACGACGACGACTACTACTACTACTACTGACGACGACTACTACTACTACTACTACTACTACTACTACTACTACTACTACTACTACTACTACTACTACTACTACTACTACTACTACTACTACTACTACTACTACTACTACTACTACTACTACTACTACTACTACTACTACTACTACTTACTACTACTACTACTACTACTACTACTACTACTACTACTACTACTACTACTGCTACTACTACTACTACTACTACTACTACTACTACGACGACGACGCGACGACGACGACGACGACGACGACGACGACGACGACGACGACGACGACGACGACGACGACGACGACGACTACTACTACTACTACTACTACTACTACTCCTGTACTACTACTACTACTACTACTACTACGAATAATAATAATAATAATAATAATATTAAAAATACGAATCAAACTAATAATAATACAAAAAACAATAATTTACATACAAAAAATCCCAATCATCCTGTGGTGTTGGGTCCTCGTTTTGAAGAGACGGTGCCCCGCGGTCTTCTCATCCTCCTCCCCCTCGTCGTCGTGCTTCTCCTCCTCCTCCTCCTCTCCTCCTCCCTCCTCCCTGCGTTCCACCCTCCCACTAAAAGACAACGCCCCGCGTCCCTCCCTCCCTCCCTCCCTCCCTCCCTCCCTCCTCCCCGCCTCCTCCTCCCTAGCGGCGCAGCTCGCATGGCGCCGCGCACCCATTTTGGCACACCCTTCACACGTTTCGTGGCCCCATAGGGAGCTCCACCTAAGGTTTCAGTGGCGCAGCTCGCAAGGCGCAGCCGCCCCATTTTGGCAAACCCCTCACACGTTTCGTGGCCCCACGGGGGGCTCCACCTAAGGCCCCAGCGGCGCAGCTCGCATGGCGCCGCCGCCCCATGTTGGCACACCCCTCACACGTTTCGTGGCCCCATAGGGAGCTCCATCTAAGCTCCCAGTTGCGCAGTTCGTATGGCGCCGCCGCCCCATTTTTGGCACACCCCTCTCACGTTTGGTGGCACCATAGGGAGCTCGAGCAAAACCCCCACTGGCGCAGCTCGCATGGCGCCGCCGCCCCATTTTGGCACACCCCTCACACGTTTCGTGGCCCCACAGTGAGCTCCACCGAAGGTCCCAGCGGCGCAGCTCGTGTGGCGCCGCTGCCCCACTTTGGCTCACCCCTCTCACGCTTCGTGGCCCTATAGGGAGCTCGAACTAAGGTCCCCGTGGCGCAATTCGCATGGCGCCGCCGCCCCATTTTGGCACACCACTCACACGATTCGTGGCCCCACACGGAGCTCCACCTAAGGTCCCAATGGCGCAACTCGCATGGCGCCGCCGCCCATTTTTTTGCACATTCCT